AAAAGAAAAAAAAAAAAAAAAAGCAGCTGTGACAAGCCAGCTCATAAGGCTAGAGCATAATGGACTGTGAGCCTGAGGCTGACAAGATCTACTTCCCCCTGTCTGAGTAATAGAGCAGCCTTAGTCCATACTTATGATTAGGACAAAACCAAGGAAGATCTTTTTCTAGGTCCTTTGGTCACTGGGACAGAAGGTATCTTGCCTTACTCACAGTTCCAATGCCTAAAGCTCTAATGGAATTTAAAATTTTGGACTTTGCCCAGGATATATCACCAAGATAAATCTTGCAAAAAATCTATAACATGGTAGTGTCTCAAAAAAGAAAAATATTCTTAATACCAATAAGATAGAGCTTGCTTCAGAGTTGTGCAAGTCCTTGCTTAAAGTATATTTTTCAACCATAGTCTACTTTTTGATACTTTTGTTTTACAGAAGATTCTTAGGTTTACCAACCAATGACCATAGAATAATGGTAGCTCCTGTTTGACCTGGGACACAGGAATATGAACCTGGTCAGTGCTGATCTGCGTGAACCTCACAGGGGTTCAACAGCTTCATTTGCAGAGGGAACAATTACAGTATGATGGCTCTTTTTGCTCTAAAACTTGCTTTTTGGCACAACACAAAATTTCAACACTTAGAAGCTAAAGGACCTTTTACCAACAGATCAGAAATAAATCAGTTATACTGATCACAAACACCTAGCATGGAACAAGTACAGATGTAAACAGCTGGTAATGAGCATCGTTTGGAACCAAGACGTTCTTCTTACTTAGGAACTAGTTACTTAATGCTTAGTGACTAACGATCAGAAACCTCCTTCTGACGTGGTAGTGATGAAACAGCTTACATTACAACCAATTAGTGATACAGGGCATTCAGATGAAGGAAATTTCTCCTTCCGAAAATGGGCAGCTTTATTGCTTTCTTGTCACTGGGACAAGAAACACCCATAATTTAAAAGAGGTGAGGTTTATTCTGACTCATAGTTTAACTCTATGGTAGGCCGACTTTATGGCAGAAACAGGAAGACTGCGGGGCATGGCATATATAACATGTGACTTTTCAGTACATCTGGCAGAGAATGGAGTACTCACTTTAGTTCTGAGGGTCTCCACACCACAACAGCCATGAAGCAGAGAGGGAAGACAGGAACCAGGGATAAGAATAAACCCTTTAAGGTCACACTCCTATTGACTACCTCTAACCAGGCCTCTAACCAGACCTCCTACCAGCACATTCAGCTGCTGGACTCATGTATAGTGTCCCTGTGATCTAATCACCTTCTAAGCACATGCGACTCTTGGGACCATTTTAGATCTAAACATAACAGTGTGTCTTCATACATGTTTCATTCTATAAAATAGCTTTAAAAATCTTCATAGCATGTCCAAGTGTATATGTTGAACTACTAATGCACTCATTAAAGAAATGCTTATTTCTGTGCCCAGTTGGTGCCATAACCAGGCATTCAGGAGATACAAGGAGGCAGGAAAGACAAGCTTCCTGGTCTGGTTTGGACAAGACTCAACCTCAGATTGACAGACTCGTCTCACCAGGAAGGGTGCTGTCTTTCACACTGTGGTGTACAATGAAAAGACCATTTGGGAAGAATGAGAACTTTTGGGAACATCCAGTATCCTAAACATATGCAAAACCATGTTTCACTAATAGACCTGCAAGTCTATAACAGATACACACGCTGCTGAGCAGGAGCAGAGAGCTTGCCCACAGGTTTCCATGTGACAACTCACCTGGTTCCTAAACTGTCATAAAAATGCTGTGCTGTTGTATAAAAATGTTGACATAACACATAAAGGATCAAATTACATAAGTATTAAACATGACATTATTCACTAAGAAATAGTTTGTTCAAAAACAAAAACAAAAAACTCTTCTAGCTCTCTAGAAAGCAAATTATTTTACACACTGTCTCCCACACATTCCAGCTATGCTGCACAACAGTTGTCACACAGTGAAAACAACACCGCATTATTGTGATGTTTATTAAAATGGGCTTTCTGAAGCTGTCATTTTTCTATTTGGAGGGGGAACACATGAATAATTCTGTACCTTTCCATAACCTATGAAATGTCTGAGTCTTCCAAAGGGAAGGAAATTATTAAAAACCTTATAGTCATCTCCGATCTGTAACCACAAATAATGCTTTTCAGTCACAAATTTGATTCAGAATCGAAAGGAGAAAACAATTCGCGTTTAGAGGATTCATTCTCTCAAAGGGACTCTCTCTTGTTCTCTTTAACGCCTTCTAAGACTGAAGTCCTCTAAAAATGAGTCTGGCGCTGGGCAGTGCCATACTTCCCTTTGTGCTCCTCAAATAACTTCCTAGGTTCCCGCATGTGGGGCTGGTGCAGCTCCTCAATGTGCTGGTGCAGGGTTTGCCGAACAGGGACTGGATGACCAACTGCAAAAACAGAATGTGCCGCCCAGGACGAATCACACCATTCCAGGGGCTGTGGAGAGCTCCGCCGATCAGAATCCCGACCCTCTCTGTCCAAGCCTTTCTTCCTGTCTCTGGCTGCTTGCGGTCTCACACCATCCCACTAGGTAACAAAGATCTCTCCTTCGCAGCAGACACTGGATTGTCAGTGCCCTGGTGGTTCTGACTTGGAGTCAAATGAGCTACTGTGCTGACTGCAGCTGTGAGTGAAGGGACACAGCAGTGCAACCACGTCACGAGCATCTCTGTCCTTGTCTTACAGCGGACAGCCAGGCCACAATCCGCTTATTATTATGACTATCAGAGCTTCCGTTCACGGGGCCTCGCTCTATCCTGACTCTCGAAGATCTTTCTTAAAAACCAATAATGCACATATCTTCATAACTAAATATCTGAAGTAAGAAATGCATATTACAAGGAGTTCACTGTTTGTAATAGTTGGCAACTAAAAAGCAACTGAAAGTCTCAACAGAAAAACTATCGAATAAACCATGAAACATCCATTCAGTGGAATCATTGGCAACGATATTTTTAAGAGAGATATGTATAAACATATGCACAAAGATGTCTAAAAGTTTTAAAATAAAGTATTATCCTATTTATGAAAATATTTTATATTTCTAGATGCATTAATGTTGCTAGTGCGTAGAAAAATGTCTGAAAAGAGAAAACAACAGTTCCTCTAGAGAAAGTTAGAGATGGAGGAACTTTCATTTTTTCTGTATTGTATGAAGTTCCTACAAATGAAAATGAACTTGTATTTTATGTATATAATTACAGATTAATTAAAAATAAATCTGCTACTTCCGTGCACATTTTAAACATATTTATATAATAAATATATCTCATTCAGCTATTAAGAAAATTAAAAAAGCATAAACAGCTTTGGTACTCAGACTCACTGCACCCCCTGCTGGTCTGACGCTGCTACTGATATTAATGTGTAGGATGGCTGGCCACCGACTAGGAAGTAAACCCCTTCTGTCTTTTCATAAACTTGGGCACGAGGTCAAAGCATGGGACTGAAATTAAGGAATGGAACCAAGAATGGAGGTGGCTGTCTCTGTCTTACCCTCAACTGCCCCATGGTACTTACAAGACCTGTGTCAGTAGTCGAAGGCGTCTAGCTAAAAGAAAACTCAGCAGGAGTTAACTAATAGAACAGGAGAAAAGTGCTAAAGGACAGCTGTCTGAGAAGTAAGGGTGGGCAGAGAAGGGAGCATTACACACACATCTGTATGACAACATTAATAATCTCAAATTGCTCCTTATTTCTCTAAATGGAGCCTCCAGAAGTTCTTAGTTTGTTAGCTTGTGTGATCACTGATCCTGATGTTTTAACTTCACTGGATTAAGAAGCATCTAGCATGTAAGTAAAGCTCACTCCTGGCTGGCCATGGATACTACATATAGGCTCCCACCCAATCATCTTGGGCATTTTTCCCCTGCTTTGCTTCCCAGCAGCCAGGAGCTAAGCACTTTTCTCTGCCATTCCTGTCTGTCGTGATGTCTCTGCTTAGTCAGCTCAGAGACTGAAACTGTGAGCAAATTTTCCTCCTTAAATTTCTGGTATTATTGTGTCTCAGTGACAGGAAGGCTGACGAATATTGCTTGGATGTCAAATGTATACACAACACATATCACTCCATTTTAATTTAGCATACAGTACTGGAAACAGCCATCTCACAGTCAGTTGTGGTTGGAAATATGGACTAGGAGAGGCTTAGGTGGTGATGTTGTGGAACTGGGAGCTGGTGTTGGGAAAAAAGCACCACGCTATCCTGGGATGACCCGTAGCCCATCAGCAAGTGCACTGAGCAGGTAAATTTCTCTCTATCCTTAATTTTTACATATATGGACTAAAAAAGTAAAAGTGAATGATCTCAAAGCTTCCTTCCATCCTTGAATTTTGACAAAAATTGAGAAGGCTACTAGAAAATTTGTAATTTTATAGAAATAGTTCCTGGCAGAGGTCAATAAAACAATTCAGTGCGGAGTTGGGGACTAACAAAGAAACACAGTGGTCTAAGATGAAGAACGCTGTTCCTAGTTTTGGGGGGGTGTTGATTGTTTTCAATGCTGTGTATTGAACCCCAGCCTTGTTCATGCTAAGTGCTCTGCCACTGAGCTACATTTCCAGCACCCCAGCTTACTTAAATTAGGACTTTAGTATCTGAATTTGTGAGTCTTCTTTCCTAGGAGCTATTTTCTAGTTAATTTCAGTCTTGTTACTTTCTTATTAATAGTTTTTATTTTTTATTTCAGATGGTTGTCCCAGGGAACTTAAATATGCCCATAGATAGTGAATTAATCATGAAACTTTTCCCTTTAAAATAAAATGCAGATAGTTCATGATCTTATTTGCTTGTAGGGATGGGCTCTGGGAAAATGGCACTGCAGTGAGGACACAGGGGCATCCATACCTTCTCTGTCACATGGTTGCAGAGGGGACACTGCCTTCTACCAAAGCAAGGGCAGGGGAAGGCACAGCATATCAGGGCATTGACTGTGAGGGCCCTATCTTGCTTTAAATCCCAGCCCCAATGCAATTTAGCCCTAAGCATTCAGGCCCAACACTATATCCTAGGACCTCAGCACATCCAGACCCTGGTGTATTACATATTTTTATTCCTTTTTTTAGCTCTTTAAAACTACTTCTGTGAGGGTCAAATGAAAAGATCCAGCTAGAACTGTTCTGAACTGAGTCATCACAAACTGGGACATTCTATAAAGGATTCCTGGAGACCTTAAAACACCAGAATTCTCTCTATCCACAAAAATGAGACTTTTTAGGGGCCAGGGATTTAGCTCAGTGGTGCCACACCTGCCTCCCAAGTGCAAGGTCCTGAGTTTGATCCCTGGCACCAGGAAAAAAAAAAATGAGACTTTACTACTAAGCATTCACCACAGTTGTGTACAAATTCTGCAAAATCTCTTTTTATAACAAAACGGAGAAAAATAGCTACATCAGGCTTCTTTTAGAAATAGAACTTCTTTCTTTCTCATAGAAAATCCAAAGTACGGAATCATAGCTTTTGTTTATGTTTCATTGCTTTGTATAGCTGAATCATTTTCCAGTTTCATTCAATTAGTCAAGATTATTTAATGTTTGTGGCCTAACATTTTTCCTTCCATTTTGTTTTTCCCTTTTTCCTTCTTTCCCACTTGCTCCTCCCCTTCTCATTCCCATTTCAACATGTTCTTCCTACTTCCCAATACCTATCCTCCATTATGCTCCTTATTTACCCTTTGAGTTTCTCACACAAGAGAAACAACGCGATGTTTAAACTCGTGTGTCTGATTTATCTCACTTAACATTATGGTCCCAAGGTACATTTATTTTCCTAAAAATGACTCAAATTTATCCTTCTTTATGGCAGAGTGTACTTCATTGTATATAAACACATTTTCTTTATCCATTCATCTTTCGATGGGCATCTGGGCTATTTCCAAGATTTAGCTATTATAAATTGTTTTGATGTAATAAACATGGGTATGCATATGTAATGCCAGTATGATACTTTTAACTCTTCCTACTTAGCTGGGTCAAACAGAACCTCTAGTTTTAGCTTTTTGAGGAAATCTCCATATTGATTTCCATAGTTGCTGTACCAGTTTACACTCCCATCGGCAATGGAGAAGAGTTTATTTCCCCTCACAGTCTCTCCAGCATTTGTTATTGGCTGATTTCTTGATCATATTCATTCTTTCTGGAGTGAGGTGGGATTAAAGCATTGTTTTAATTTGTATTTTTTGAATGTCTAGTGATGATGAGCATTTTTTCATATATTCATTTGCCTTTCTATTTCTACTAGATGTCTATTCATTTCAGGTGCCCATTTTTGGACTGAGTCTAAATTTTGGGAGGTCTTATTTTTTGAGTTCTTTTTATAGTCTAGATATCAGTCCTTTGTCTGAGGATTAGCTGGTAAAATATTTTCCCATTTTGTGAGTTGTCTATTCATTCTGTTGGCAGTCCCTTTTGTTGTGCAAAAGCTTTTTAATTTGACGTTGACTCTTTGTAATATTTCCTGTGCAATCAAGGGTTCGTGAAGTCTTCACCTACTTCTGTGTCTTCTAGAGTCACCTATCCTATCTTCCAGCAGGAGATATTTTTAATATTAAGGTCTTTGATTCATTTTAGTTTTAGTTGAGTGTGTGATAAGAGATTTGGGCTGAGGTTCAATTTTCAGTATGGGGAAAGCCAGTTTTCCCAGCATCATTTGTTAAAGAGGTTATCTTTCTTTTAGTGTAAGTGTCTGGACCCTATGCCAAAGATAAGGTAGATGAATGTGCTTGGAGCTGTTTCCGCATCGTCTATTCTGTTTCAATGATCCCCAAATCTGTTTTTTTTGTTTTGTTTTTTTTCCAGTACCATGCTGTTTTTAATCATTGTAGCTTTTTAGTATAACTTCAAATTGGGGATTGTGATGCTCCTTGCCTTGCCTTTGTTGCCCAGAATTTACTATTTTGCTATTCTAGGTCTCTTCTGGTTCCAAGTGAATTTTAGGATTTTCTCTAGTTCTGTGGGGTATGCTTTGGTATTTTGATTGGGATTGCATTAAACCTGTATAGTAGTTTTGGAAATATACACATTTTCACTATATTAGTTCTTCCTATCCAAGAACAAGGGATGTCTTTCCATTTTCTAATATCCTGTTCGATTTTCTGTTTCAGAGTACTGTAGTTTTCAATATTTAGGTCTTTCACTTCCTTTGTTAGACTGATTCCCAAGTATTTCATTTTTCTTGATACTATTGTGAAAAGTGTGGTTTCTCAAATTTCTCTCTGAGTTTATTATTCATGTATAGGAATTCTACTGATTTTTTTGAGTGCTGATTTTGAATCCTGCTAGGCTATCAAATTTGGTTAATTTTAGGAGTCTTTGTCTTTTTTTTTGTTTTTGGTTTCTATGTAGAGTTTTCAGGGTCTTCAATGTAGACTGTCATATCACCCACAAAAAATTATAATTTAACTTCTTCCTTTCCTATCTATATGTCTTTATTTCTTTCTCTTATCTAAATTCTCTAGCTGATGTTTCCAGAACTATATTGAACAAGAGTAGGTATAGGGGGTATCCTTGTTTTGTTCCTGACTTTACAGTGAACGCTTTCAGTTTTTTTGATTGTTTTCTGCAGTATCAGGGATCGAACTTGGGACCTTGCACTTGTGAGGCAGGAGATGGAACCACTGAGCTAAATCCCTGGCCCATTTTTTTGTATTCTTTAGTACAATGAGGGCTTTTGGTTTGTCAATAAATGGATTTTTTTTTTTTTTTTTTTTTTTT